GAGGACAAGTGGATTAATTCTTAATTATTTTAGGCCGGTTATTATGAGAATAATATGATATTATTAATAACATAAGCATGGGTGGTTATGCAACATAATGGCAACTAGATACATGATATACATCACATGGGCAATTCGGTAACATCACTCATAGAATTTCTTGTCATTAATGATTGTGAACCATTGGCATTAATTAAGGGTAAACAAGTACCATTTTATATGAGTTCCATGAATTGATTGATATAAATAAATCACATTTTGTGTTTATTTTCGTTTTTTTAAGTATATAATATTTATACGCGGCAAATAAATTCACATATCCTTTTCATATTTGGTGAGGTTTGAACTTCTGACTTCCTATGAGGCTAAATAAGAGCGTAAAGTTTAGTTTTTGTCCCAGCGTACTTTTGTCTATTTTAATGGTTCCCGTCCCTCAAATTTGTCCATTTCAACAGGTTTCGTTTTTCTATCTGACGATCTTTAATTTTTTCTGTTAAACGAGGGGTAATTCAGTCAATTTTATCTTCTCTCTCTTTTAAATATACTAAAATCCCATCATTGTGAACCCACCCTTTCGTCTTCTCACGTCACTTGCTCCCTTTTCTTCGATAAAGAGAAGCCATTGCCGCCAGTACCCAAGAGAAGTAGTGACGGTCGCTATCATCATTAGAACTTCCTTATCAAAAACCTCAACCTTTACACTTTTTGTTGTCATAGACTATATGTACTAACAATCGGAATTTCCTTCACTTTCTTATCTAATCGGTATATTTTGAGAAGGGTTGACGAGCCATCAGAGTGTATACCAGATCTAACACCGTTAGTTAACCTTTGGCATCTTCGACGATGGGCCATCAACAAATGATCGACATCTTGACTTTAATCGTTGACAGTGTTGTTGTATCATGATGCGAGACAAGACTAGTGATAAATTCAGTGTTTAATTTTGTTTTTGATTCAGGTTTTTGGTTTATTTTGGGGTTTTAATTTTAGGAAGTCATAGAATTTCGATTTTGTGGTTTAACCAAAATACTCCTCATGTAATTGGATTAAACAAAAAAGGTTAAATTCGTTAGACAAAAGGATGAAATATGTAGGACATGGATAAGCACGAGAGATAAAATATGTACGAAATCGGTAAACACGAGAGATGAAATATGTAGGACATGAATAAACGTGAGGGATAAAACCCGATTAAATGAAGTTTAGGAACGAGAACCGATGAAATTGACAAACGCTAGAGACAAAAACCAAACTTCACTTACAAAAGGATGTGCTTTGACCAAAATGCCCTCATCCTTGTTCTCAAGGAAAATAGATTATTAAATTCAAAATCTAATTCACCAAACATAAAATTACAAGTTTAAAATTGTCATTCCCAACCTTGATAAATCTACATTTTTTGCTTCTAGTTTTTTCTTTCAAAACCGAAAAATCGACCATATCTTTTATTTATTGAGATAAATACAGTTTAAAATATCAGAACTGATTTATTTAGACTAAAAAATCGCCTATCTTCATTACATCACACATGCAGATGGAGTTCAAGAAGAGAACAATGGAGTTACATGAAGAAGCTACAAATCGATGTCGTTGGTAGGCCTCCAATTGCGTCGAAAGATAGAGGCAAAGACTACTGATTTAAAGGCAATCTTTTGACAGTGTTTTTAACTTTGATGGGTCAATAAACAAGTTTAAAAAGATGATAATGTGAGGTCCATACTCGATTTCTATATACTTTTAATTATAAATCAGATATCAAAATAAGACCTAGATACCAAAAAGATGGATAGATCTTTAACATGACCTAACTATGAATTTAATAACAGAAATTTATTAAATATTAAGAAAATAAAAAAAGGAAACAAGACAACCCTAGCTACAATTAGAGATGTTTTAGTAAAAGAGCTATTTTGTTTTTATATATAAAGATGCTTGTTTACTATATTTATGGTTTTTATTTATAAATTCTCTTATACCAAAATCCAAAGTACATGTTATATAATTGTTTACCGGTTAGAGTCCTATAAGACTACTGGAGATTTTTCTGACTGTTTTTCAAGATCCTTAAAGATTAGTTGAGATTCAAGTTCAAATTCCAAGAAGGAACAAAAATTCCCTTATGGCCACGGATGTTCAAATGCGGTGACTCTGAGCTACATGCAAAGTAGATGGTCGTTGTAGAATTAGTCGACTCACAGGATTGGATATTCAGGTTAATTAAAAAAAAATCTAATAATAATAATATAATAATTGTTCACAAATATAATGATTTAATATATGATTTAACATTCTTGGTCTTTAAGTAGTCTTGGAGTGAGTTGTCATTTATGGAAATCAACCATTCCACTACTCTTAAAAGTCGAATCTTGAAACACTTTGTTGGCGGTGATTCTTTCTATTGTTGTATTTTTAATTATATACTCTTTTCCTTTCAAAATAAATATTATTATTACTATTTTTATTTATTTTAAAATACGTATTTATATTATTATTTTAATTTTGTTCCAAAATAAATGTTTACTTTCTCATTTTACCCTTAATTATATGATGAAAAACTTTTTCACTTTATAATCATGATTTCTCATAACCGGCCATAACCGGTCCCGGTCCCGCTCGAAAAAGTTGAGCCCTGTCAAGCTTTATTGTAATAAGTTATGGGTCGTTGGTCCCGGTCCCGGTCATTAAAAAATATTATTTTTATTTTTATTTTTTAATGATATATATTTTTAATACATTATAAAATTTGTAATTAGGTCACTCAAATACATTTTAAAAATGCGTTTTATTATAATTAAAATTACATTGTCTTACAAAATATAGCAATAAACCGATAATTATGAACGTTTTTTTGCGTTTTTTGCGAATCGAGAACTTGGTATATAAATTTCTCAACCAAGACACTTATATATAATGTTTAGAAAGCAAAAAAAGACCCAAAAACGGCTACATTTAAAAAAAAATAGTTACATTTTTTTTTAAATCGGGCCGGGCCGGGACGGGCCATAACCGGTCCCGATCCCACGAAACACCCCAAATCCATAACCGGTCCCAGATTTCGATCCTATAACCGATCCTTGGCCGGTCCTCCGGCAGCCCCGGGCCGGGCCGATTTGGCCGTCGCTAGGTGAAACTGTCATTTTGTTGATTAAAAGTGTACTAACTACACATTCTTAAAACTATGTATATTTTTTTATTATGAACATTTATTTTGAAACAATGGGAATATATATTTATCAATGGAAATGGGACTCACCTCTAAACTTGTGACCATACAACAAATCAAAGTTGATAGATTCGTTAAACTTGTAAGTACGAAAAATATATGAAAATTCACTGATTTAATACATTTGTTAAATTTGTACGTACAAGGCCTATGAGAAGAAGTCTCAATCTAATAACATGTTACTTGGTTCATCTTCAAGGGTGCGTTTGGTATATTGGACAGAACTAGACATAATAAGAATCACAAATCCACGTCTAACAGCACATTTATGCGGAACAAATAGGAACAAAAATGGAAAGGTATAGAACACACATCTTCCTCCTCCATCTCATAGAAAAGGCGGAACATACTTATATTTTACTAATAAACCTAATTATATTCTAAAACATCAAATACATCCTCAAAACTCTTTTTTTTTATTTTTTTATTTTGATTAATTTATGTTATTTATTAATATAAAAAACAATATAGAAAGGATATAAAATACAAATTTGAAACTACATAAATTTTTTATTTTTGTGTCATTTTTTTAGTGATATATTTTGTTCAAAAATATGTATTTTATTATAATTTAATAAACTAAATTATTAATCAAAATATATAAACAACTTATTAAAGGTAAATTTGTTATTTTATTTGTTCTGTCATATCTATATCTGATTAAACATTTAACAGTTGTAATATAGTATTTTCTTAGTATTACTTTTTTACAGTATTATTTTCTTTTTAAGATAGTTTTAGTGTATGATTGGAATGAAAAAATAGTAAAAGAAATGCTCATTCATCAACATCTGATGTTTTTTTTATGTTATGATTGAAATTGGTTTTGTATTTGCTGGAAAAAATAAATTTAAAAAAAAAAAAAACTTAACAAAGACGATTGTTACTTTATTTCGTCTATAATACTAAAAGTTAGAAAACACAAAACGAATCATTATCATGATCTGTCTCGCTTATTTTTTGTTAGGCTATTCCTTTTTCCATGTTGGAATAGCGAAAGGCCGAAACCAGTGTTGTATGTTGCACCAGACTTGACCATTTTGGCATTTGCGAAAAGGTCGGTCTTCACATTGATACATAGCATGTATAGCAATGAGGTTCAAATGAGAATAGTAACAAAATAAAAGAACACAAATACTGCAAAATCACATGTGATTTCAGACTAAGGTGGCAAAAGTCGTGTGAATCACATGTGATTTTAGCGTAAAATCTTTAATGTAAAATCACATGTGATTCAACTATTTTCTTATTCTTTTATTTGGTTATTGTTCTTGTATGAATCTGTCTCTACTATAATTTAAGTTGCAACTTTGATGAATGTGTTTAAATGAGAGTAGTACTATGATGAGTGACCTCCTGATGCTTTTTTTTTGAATTTATCTACCAAAAAATTACTCCATCCAGTTACCAAACAGTTGAGGATCCCGTAGCCATTGCAATTTCAATTATGTTCCTGAAAGTTTCATGTGTGCACATAATGATACCGAGGGGAGAGTGGGCATTCATATGTGAAGAGACTGAACTTTAGTCACTACTCCAGCACATGAACTTAAGAAGTCAGAACCAAAAACAACACGACTCCCAGAATGGTACATATAATCTCTAAATTACAATTCAAATAGTACACTTATGGTTATGTATAGAGAAAATAGGATGTCTTACGGCAAATAAATGCTGCGGAAACCAAATAAAAGTACATTACTTGGAACTTTGAACACCAGAAAGAAGACCATCTGCTGCAGAATCCAAGTCATGAGGAAAGAAAACCCTGCATAACACCCGGTGTCATATTGAGTAAATCAAATGTGATAGCGTTTACGAACTCGAGATAGTTTCATACAACATTTTGATTTATGGATAATAGTCGTGATGCATCACAGAGGCTTGCTCTTTGTTATTTGAGTTGAGCCGTATGGATATTATCATTGATATCCGTACCATTATGCATTGTTGGCAATTTGGAAAACCCGAAGCAGCTGAAGAACGAAATGGTCATTCCAGCTAATGTTCACCCAACACAAGTAAATGGTTGTTACAAGGTGGGCGATTTTACAAAGGCTAAAGATCTGTTCAAAGAGTTGCAGCCTCAACGGTGTACATACACAACTCGAATGGCTGGAGAATGTTAGGAACCGTAACAGGGTGAAACAAACATAATAAGAGAAAGGAAATGCTTAGCCAAATTATATTCAATCAAAGTAAATGAACGGAAAAAAGACAATGATTGTAATCTCTCCCAAAACAACTCACTAATTTTCTGCATACTGACCCCTCTTCCAACCTCCCAATTTATACTAGATGTTTATTAACAGAAGTACCCAAAACACCCCTTCTATCCCCTTCTATGATAACAAGTATGCGCAGGCTTGGGCCTAAAGTGGGTACATGACATTACCGCACCCCCAAAGGACCACCTTGTCCTCAAGGTGGATAAAAAACTAAGAGAAACTACGGCTGCCCGATTATGACATATATTGAGAATATGTGGAATCCCTAAATTACTCTCCAAAAGGAGAGAAGAGAGGTTCCAAGTTCCAACATATATTGGGATAACGGTCCAAGACTCCAAGTCTAGCCAATGTGGGGCTAGATGGGCACAGATTGTCCTAGAGCCTTTGAGGAGAGAGGAGAGGCTCCACCATATATCGATAATAAAGTGGTCCAAGTCTAACTGACATGGGACTCTAGCATCATATTTATTCTATAGATTGGAAACTTCTCATATCTTATATATCTGAAATAGTAAAGCACAGAAATCAATGAGATTGAAAAAGCATAAAACCTATGGTGCTCAAATTACCTGCACGTATTGTAGTACAGGGTTCTGCTCAGTTGGTTAAGATCAGCAACACCTTTACAACCACCAACGACCTCGAGGACTTGCCTGGAGATGATTGATGAATTGTATCAGGATCTAGACAGCTCAAATTAAGATATCAAACACATTAAATCAGGCCCCGGCCTTCCAATTCCAACAGAGTTCTCAAGTCCAGTGTATATTTTCTTCTTGCATGACTTGATATCCACGACGAAAATGACAAGGTAATATGCATTTACAAAGATTATAAGCATTATAGAAGTACATAAAATATGCAATGCACTTACCGAACTAAACAAGGTTCATTTCGACCTTTGACTAGGCAATCCTGGTCATACTTCTCTTTCTTTTTAGATGCCCAGGAGGATTTTATGAAATTTTTTCCAGCATGAGTGTTTTTTATCTCACAATAAGGAGAATCGGTCTCAATCATCATTCTATCAACTGGGATACCCTTTAGAGCATCAAGGTTTTCAGAAGTTTTCAAAGAGCAACCATTTATACCTGTTCTTGGAAGAAATGGAACACTAAAATTAGGAACTTGTATATCATTGCAACTTCTGATACGAGTTTTACATGTATTTAGTTCAAATACATATGAAAATGAGATCAAATAGGAGGATATTGACCTATAAAGAGATTGCTGAATGCAAGAAGCTTGTCACGGTCTTCTGGAGTACCGGTAAATGAGTGGGCAACTCCGCCATAGAACCTGTCACATAATGAGGGGCTATTAACAAAGTGTATAACTTTTAACATCAGTAAACAACTACCTTGCTACATAGAGTCGACAAAACTTACTAGCACATCATCTTTTACATGGTTCACCAAAGGGAAACCATTTTGTCATAAATTAATACCCTGTCATCTTGAAACTACATTACCTTCTTACATGGTTTAAGGGGGAAAATGTTGGTCCCAAAGTTGTTAAAGGCTCAAGGCACATTTAGGCACAAAGGGGTCTTGGGGCCTAGCCGCAAGGCACAGGCGTGACGCGCGGGCCTCAGAAATGTGAGGCGCATCTTATGTAAAAAAAAATTATACACACACACACAGTTACACACGACTCAAATATGTAGCAAGTACAAGCCTCCAGTGCAGCAACCAACAATACTTCTACAGAGGCAGAAGGGAGAAGGGTTTAAAGCATAAGCCATGAGGGAGAAGTTTTAAGGTCTGGGTATTGTTAGAAATACCCCAATTCAGTTCACTTATAGTAGAAAAAGGAAGCAGGGAAAACCACTTGTCACGGGGACCACTCCAAAAGAATGAGAAGGCTGGGAGTTAGTCTGTTAGAGGGCAATTTGGGAATTTACTCTTAAGAAATCTAGTATAAATTGGGTGGTGAGGTGAGTATTGTTTTCATGCATATATTTCCCTTGTAAACCTGGAGAGAATGGCCTCTCGAATTGCCATACATATCTTCCCCTTGTTAATGGTAATCATATGACCACTGCAAGTGATTTCACTGTGTCTTACCTGTTCCCATTGCTATTAATTTCAATTTGCCATTCCTTTCTTAATTTTGATTGTTGAGTTGGGTTGATTCACAACAGGTATTTATAGAGAAAGAGGCTTGAAGTTATAAGAACCGGGTGTCTAATATTAGGGTTTGACTTCGTCATCTATTTAATAACTCTTCTTTTAAGACACCTAGAAGATAAGAAGATGATAAAACTTATTTAATACTGAGGTTTGACTTGGTATTAAATAACTCTTTATCAGGTGCACCTAGGCCCACACAGCACCTCAGCCAAGGCATAGAGCCTGAGTGAGCCTCATGAATACGCCTAGCCTCGGTTTTTTGGAAAAGCCCAAGATCTTCAACCTTATGAGCCTCAGAGCCTAGTCGCGCCTCGGGAGCGCTTTTAACAACTATGGTTGGTCCTATATCACCTTCTTACCTGATATTTTGCACTCCGCTGCATTCCTTTCTATCACACGCTAGATATAAATTTTCATCTTCGTAACAGGTTTAAGTTTTCCTTGGCCACTATAAACAGGATGAAGAAAACTAAGGGGCCGTTTACCTAACACTTGCAACGCTTACAGGCAAGAGATATCACCTTCACTTCCCTTATCGTGGAACATTATCAGCCATCAAAATGGATTCTTAGTAAGCATCTTAAACCCTGTAAGCGCTTAACGGGTAAGAGTCATTTCCCTCACCAGGTAAGACAAGATTCTCGGTCCTCTTACAGGGTAAGATTCTCAGTCCTTGCCATGCTCAATCAGTAAGATAAGTGATATCGGTAAGACTTTAGTAAGCGGCCCCTAGGTGGCTTCTAGCCTTTTAAAATTTGTAGAACTAGCTCTTTTTGAAAGGTTTACCTACGAACCAAATTGATTTGGGATTAAAAACTAATTAGGATACATATATAACGATGGATTTTTAAATCATAGATTACAATGCACGAACAGCAAAAAGGTTAATCCCACTCGCAATATGGAACAATTTTATCACAAAAGGGTTGTTGAAATAGCATATCTTTTGTGATCAATTGGCCAAAATATCCATCATTCCTAATTCTGCTGCACCTTAATAAAATAACTACATATCAACGGCAATATCATGGTACTTCCACATATTATGAAGACTGGGTTCTTTTGAATGAAGCAGATGAATCAACTGACACTACCCTCTTAGTCTTTTAAGGGTGAAACATATGCTGGTGTGGTTTGAGCCACTGCTCTCTTTCGCTGTGAGACGAGATATAAAACTTCAGAACCTAAGCATTTCTTGGTGGGATTAGCAACTTCAGACACTGATTAACTACATAGCATGCCTTACCAAAGATACCTACCACAAAGTGGTTCACACAGATCAATCAGCAATTAAATAAGGCAGATGCAAAACCTAGGCTTATTAGTTGGTGATATTGTTGCAAGAATTTGATTTGATCATTTCCTTGTTAATCCCACCAAGAAACACTTTAAATTCACCATGACGTAAAAATGATTGAAAATAAAGAAATAACGATTTTTCTTTGTCACTCCTACCAATTGTATTTTGCAACACCCTTCTATTAAAAGGCCTTTAGATCTTAGTAGAACTGAAGGTGGTCTTTATATTTTGCACACATCCTCTATAACCAAGTAGAATGCACAATCCTTTTGTAAGGTAGGTCTAGCCATATGATCAGAGTAAAAGGTTTCACTGTAGATATAGTCTGTTATTTGATAGAACTTAGAAGCTGTATACCTAATGTCTTTTTGAGACTATAAACAGGTATCATAGATACGCACCAACAGAAAAGGTAGCAGAACAAATTAGAGTGTAAACTACAATAGACAACATAGCTTAGTCTCTGGAAGATCCATCCACACCTCTGCTTGTTTTGCTCCAGAATGTCACAGAAATCCCCAGCAGCTGCTCGCATATGAAGAAACATTGGAAGCTTCAGGAGATGTGCTAATTCAAACTGCCTCTCAAAGTACCTAGTGATAACAGTGTAAATGAGAAACATACCCAATAAATCATAGCATCTAATGTGCCAACTCTTTTGTGAAGGCTATTCAGCCCTACAATTAGCATTTTTACATATAGCTCATTTCTGCTTCAAGCATCACATACTTCCTTTGAATCTCCGGTGAACAAAAGTGAGTTCTGTCATAATCCAATCCACACTCACCAACTGCCACTACCTTTTCAAAAATATAAGATTTCATTAATAGTTTTGTCAATTTAGACAATAACAACTCTCAGAATTTGAAAGATTAAGCGGCATCATGAACTTTGAGAAAGACTTAAGTTGCAGATCCTTGCAAGCTAGACAAGACATTGCTCAAACAAATCATAAATTTCAGGACTTAAGGTGAAGCAACACTTTTAGCCTTCATATTGATCTTACCTTCCCTTTCTCAACTCCCTCTTTAGCCAGTGACAACAGTGCCTGAAAATGCTTTTCGGGATCTCCACTCTCATCGAACTCCTGAACATGATTAAAAGAATCATAACTACATATATCTTCACATTCACAGGATAAGAAAGATTAACAACAAAGAAAAAAAACTCACATTACATCGTGTTGGGTGCACTCCAACTGTACAGAATAGTCTTGCTGCCACAAACATTGAACCCTCAGTACTATACCACTCCCAAGTATCTTAACAAAAAAATCCAATCCAATAATACGAAATTGGTAAAAATATACAGCAAATCAGCACACACATTGACTAACCATCAGTTTCAGCAATAGCTAAAGCTTCCCTCGACTCCTCAAGTGATCCTCCCGTGACCTGCAATAAAGACATCCCTTCAATGTTCGGAAGCTCATACACAATTTGAACCAGATTATAAACAAGGGATATAGAGAATAGTCTTCCAACTATCTTAGCTAAATTAAATTACTTTTGCACTATAAAAGAAGCCGCAAGAACAAAGTGATCATTTTGAAGCATTGTACCAAAGATAATGGTAAATTTTGATCCACATGGAAATGCATCAAGATAAATGTACACTCCCGCACTGAGAGAATTACATATAAGTTACGGATCTTTTTCTCATCAATCAGTAAATGCATGTAAATCCTGAAGTCAATTTGTTTTCATCTGAAAGCCACAGATAAAATGGTCATTCTGTAGCAACATAGTTTAAGTTGCACAAACATAAGAGCCGTCGAAGTACTGTTCAATGATTTTACTACGTAATTTCGATTGTAACAGATAAATGAACGAGGAAATCCGGAACTTACAATAATTCGATCAACGCCAGCGCCCCAAGCCCTACTTAAAACTGCTGCAATGTCAGGTAAATGGCATTGTTTTCCATTATATACACCCTTGAACATACTATCTGCATCAATATCGTAAAAATAATCAATCAATTAAGAAAAAATCATTGAAATAAAACGAATCGACTCTAGTGACACTAACCTGTGAAGTTAACGGCAATGTCTGTTTGAAATTGAACCGAATCAGAGCAAGCAAATCATAAATGTTAGTAAATTAAACAATATGGAGTGGTCTATACACAATAAAACGAAGTAGAAGAGTCATGCCTATCATTCGAAGTGTCGCCATGGATTGAGATTAATTGCGAACCCTAGAGTGCAGGATTTAGCCGGGAAGAAGGAATTTCTGTTTTCGAGCGTCTATTTAAACATTAGGGTTCCATTTGAAATTTACATGTAGCATGGTGTCATTTTACCCGTTCAGGAAAATACAACTTTTTGTTACATGACACGGTTCTGACTTATCTAAATGAAATCTATTTATCGACTCTTATTTTTCATTTATCGGATAAGATTTTATGTCAATGGATAAAATACTTTGACACGGGTTTGTTCAAACGACATTATTATCTTATAAAAATGCAAGAACGAGTTATCTGAACTCGAGCCTAAATATTGAAAAAATATTTGAGCCCGATATTTCTTTCGATCCAAGCTCAAATAACCCGTCACTCGACTCGGCTCGTTTACATCTCTCATATCACATATGATACTAAGTAGAGATGACTTTTGGCCCGACTTAGGTATCACGCCAAGTCATTTATGGAACACCATGTCTCCTCATATGAATCTATCAAATGTGTTATGAATGTTTTCATATTTTCTTAAAATTATGATGTTCTGATTTGAAACCATGTATATTCTAATATATTTTATTATTCTTTTAAAACCTTAAACCGGTTTTGCAATGATTTGTACGGTTAGATTTTGATATTGTGATTCATTTTAAAATCTAAAAAAAATACATTTCTTCGGTTATATGATCCCTTACAAGATGGAAAATAATTTCTTAAAAAAACGTTATACATATTGTTGAAGATTTCTACAAAGAGTCTCGTTAAGAAAAAAAAAATTAATATCGTCCGAATCCTATAATTCATATTTCCATTAAAAAGTAATGTTACATTCAAATGTTACATCTAATCTAATCATGTGTCTCGAGTCTCGATCATACACTTTTAGGACATATGGGGTTATTTGATTGATTTTTCGTTTAAGTCCACAATGGATAAAACTGTGGTGTAGATTAATCTGTTTATGTAAATTGAGAAGATTTTTGTTTGCAATGGTGTGTTTCATAGATGAAAAAAGCATGTTTTAAATTCGGAGGGACAAGTATAAAAAAAACTTGACTTTGTAAATAAAACTCCTCCTAGAAACTTACTGGGTAAATCATTTTTTATACCATTAAGTTGCTATCAAATAGTTATATATAGCTGACATAGACTCCTAAAAAACTTGACAAGTTAACAATGATGACTTATTTACATAAATAAATTAATCTCTCCATAAATAAATACAATTCTCATAAGTAAATACAATAATCGAAAAAACAAGTATCATAAAAATTTGAGAAATGTATACTCATCTTTTAAAAAAATAAGTAATGATAGACACCAAGGACGAGAAACACCAATTTACCACTTGCAGTAGTGACCAAATGCGATGGTGTCAAGTGGATGGCGGTGGTGGAGGCGGTGGTGGTGATAAGGTAGGTGTGGAATTGTTATTGCCGCCACCTCCACCGCCACCGCTGTTCTCCCAAGGCCTGATGGAGAGTATGATAATAAGAATGACAATCAACACTAAAACAATCCCAAAACAGGCCCATTTCCTGGTGTTTTTCTGATGCTTACGTGCAACCTGTAAGTGTGTGGTACCACGGTTGATGAACGAGCTGGCACGGTTTACCTGGTTCTCAATATCGTCCAATTGCTCCCCTTGACTCTCCACCAGCACCGCCATGTCCATAAACACCTGATGCAATTCCTTCAGATTCCTCTCGATCTCTTTAACGGCGTCGTGTCGTTCCTGGATCTCAAGGATTGTGTCCATCACTTGCCCTCTCCCCTGCTCCTGAATCGCTTTTTGCAGAAAAGTCTCGCTTTGTCCGGTGGAGATCAGCGTATCTACTGTCGATTCGTCCGGATTTTCGCCGGTGACGGTGTAGTACCGTCGCTGGACGGTTTCACGGTACTCTGTAGCCATTTTATTACGCAGATCGTTGAAGGAGTTCATCGAATCAGAGAGTTTCTTACGGAGGCCGTTGACTACAGAGGTCCGAGTTCGATCTGAAGAGCTGCCAGGTCCGCATCCAGGGAGACTACGATTGGCGGCGTTGGAACGATCTAGGGCTTCGAGACGGACTTTGATGAACTTGGCCTTCTTGAGTGAGATAGCGACGTCGTTATCCATCTTAGATCTAAGCTCTTTCACAGATTTAGCGTTATGTAGGGTTTTGCTATGTTCGTTAGACGATTGAAGCTGATTATGCAGCGTCTCAAGTGCTCGTAACTCATCCTTAATCGCCTCAACATCTTCAAAGAACTTATCAAGGTTGACACCACCAGTGGAGGGCATGTTACCTGTCATCTCGATGTTGTTCTGATGATGAGACGGCGGCGATGGCTCTTCGCTGCGGAAACGAGAGAACGATCCAGAAAACAGATCATTCATCTTTGCTTTAGCTTTTCTTTTTCAAATTGGGCAACAAATGAAAGTTATTGAGTAAACAGAATGAAATTAAGACGAGTATAGATAGAGAAATGGAAGCCGCGGGAAGGGAGAGCTCTTCAATGGCTGCCTGGACAGGTACGGCTGCTCAATTATGAAAAAGTCAACGATGAAGAAGTAGCTGAGAAAGTGCTCATGGTCATGGAGCAAAAGAGACGTTTTGTTGACCGCGTAAAAGGGGGAAATGCAAGAATCGGCAATGGACTGCAACTTTTGTCCTTAATAATTCTTCTAATTGTTACACTCAATTACTAAATCATCCCTCAAGGATACTAAACTATATCAATTGATTGTAAATGAACCGATTGATATAGTTGGTAAGTTGGTCATTTTATATGTTTTGTCATGTCTAATTTTGTTTTAATAAACATTAAACAGTTATCTTGTCATATCTTATTATGTCTTCTGTCTAATACCAAACACACCCAAAATAAACATGATTAGTTTCTTGAGTTTGTGAATGTTTGTTCGTTTAAATTTGTTTATATATATTAGAAGGATACTCGCACAATGTAGCGATATATATCTTAATTTTAATGTTTCGTTTTATTTTTTTGTCTCTGTTGATTTAATACGATTTATGTGGTTTTGAGAAAGATAATGTTTTTTCGATTTAGTGAAGTAATTTATTTTAGGTTTAACAATAAAATTTTATAAAGATAATGAGTAAAACTTAATGATTATCCTAATCATATTTTAAATTTTTTATATTTAAAATGAGATGTTTATCATGTATTTGATTATGTTTATCTGCAGTTAGTTATATAAATTCAAAAATGGAGCTTTAATAAGTTATACTTACGCACAATTWACTTATAATCTTAAATTTTAAGTAATATGCATTAATACACAATATTTCATGCATAAAAAATAGTTTTTAAGAGTTTTTGTCAAATGCTTTATAATATAGTATAGATAGTAAAGTTAAGGAGAAAACTGTAAAAAAAAATAAAAAATTAAGCAACATGCTGGTAACCGTTCATTTGGACGGTATGTACATGTGTATACAAATAATTGTTAACAATTTGTATGATATGCACATGTGTATAACATGCACACGTGCATAAAAACCATAAAACAGCTTCAATGACTTGTATGCACATGTGCATATTGTCCAGATGAATGGTTATCAGATTGTTCTTCAGTTTTTTTTTTTTTTTTTTTTTTTTCCACATGTTGCGAGCAAAATACTTTGTCTT